GAACCCACTGAATTGGTTAATGATTATCATCTACAAATCCTCTTAGTCACAGTCTTATTTTAAGATGGAGACAGCAGCTAAGCAACTAGTAAAATTTAAGAAAAATATGTAAGAACCTATAGTTACCAATTTAAATGCAAATGAGGAGTAATAAAGCCACTTAAAATGTATCTTTAAAAAAATTCTTCTAGGGATAGTAGATGGCATAATGGTTATGTTGCTGGACTCCCACATGGCCGACTATGGTTCAAGTTCTGGATCCAGAGGCTTGAAACTCAAAAGCGTGTGTATGCATGTCCCAAATCCTGAGAGGAGAATAGAGAAGAAGGGATTGCAGCATGATCAAGCCCTGGGGGAGCGGGGAGATTTCTCACTTTCTGTCTCTCTGTATCTGCCTGTCAGCGAGTTCACATGCCCTTTAGTAAAAATGTCTCTTAAAAGAAAAACAATTCTTCCAAGGTGCAATCAAGTGGCACTGTGATTAAGGAACTAGACTCCCACATGGCCAGCCAGGGTTTGAGTCCTGGACCTGGCAGCTTGAATATCATGCTGAGCATGTGTGTGTACATATCCAAAATCCAGAGAGGGGAATGGAAAAAGGACTGCAGTTTTTAAAAGTTTATTCATGATTAACATAGAATTTTAGAGAATGGAATAAAAATACAGTGTAAAGATGATAAAAGTTACTTCTTGTATTATTACCTGAGATAACTGATACAAAATCAGTGTATTTATTCCCAGTTTTCCATATGTTACTTAAAATTGGAATTGGGCCAGCTGGTAGTATAGTTAGGGCAGCTGAATCCCATATGGACAACTCCAATGGTTTGAGTCCTGGACTCTGTGGACTAAAAGACTTGCTGGGTGGCACATATGTATGCCCAAAATCCTGAGAAGAGAATGAAGGAGAAAGGGTTGCAGCATGGCCTTCCCCTCAGGAGGTGATGTCTCACTCTCTCTTTTCCTCATTCTCTTTTTCTGTCTTTGTTCCACAAGTGCACACACCCTATAGGAAAAAAAAATTAAAGACAAAATATAAAGAATAAAATTGAAATAATTATTTACCTTCCTTTTCGTTATCTTATGTCGTGGCCATATTACCATGTCATGAAATAAATCACTCAAAAAAACCTCCACAATACATCCTTTTGATTTGACGCTGTGATGAAATAGTATAAATGCCACATACACAAGTATGGAAAGACCGACAGAGTTCTCTTTTCCTCTCTATTTCTTGCTTCCCTTCCTTTCTGTCTTCCTCCAAAATGGGTTACAATGGAGTTCCCAAGGAGAATGACCTAACTGCAGCTTATGACATGTTTCCACTTATCCCCTCCTCTGGGACCTTCCAGGGACAGATGAGATACACCATTGTGATCTTTAAGAGCTGCCAAGCTCCTGACTGGGAATAAATTATTTTTCAACATCCCCACCTTCCTCCTGTCTGCAAGTGCTTTCCTGCTTTTATAAAAGGACTTTTAGGAGATTTTGAAATGATAGAAGACACAGTTGAAGAAGTAAAGGCAATCCACAGATAGTAATCATGCCCTCTTTCTCCAAAATGTGTTCCATCTGTTTTTAGATTAGAGAGGTAGGGAAGTTAATTGAAAGGTGCCAGATTTGATTTCC